ATCTTGACGCGCTTTCCTTCCCTCTTCTCTTCATTAACCCGATTTTTACCATAAAATCGGCTTTTGTTTGGTGAAGATAAACGCTCATGAATTGGCCTCCGTGGTCCTCCCCATCCTTGGTTGAATCTCATTGGCGGCATATGATTGTACATTGGCGGCGTTGCCCCCCCTGGCATAAAGTAAGGATAAGGATAACCCGGCGGCGGCATTGGATAAGGACCCCATGACATGTCTTGTGGATGAAAATATGGAGGTGAACATGACCGTCTTGGCGAATGACCAAATCGCTCCCTAGGAGGTGATCTTGGTCTTTTCCCTTTGTTGTGATCCCTCTCACCACCTTGCCTCTCATACTTTTCCAAAAGCATATCAAAAGTCACTTTGGTCTTTCTAGGGGCCTTAGAAGTCGAAGCTTCACCCTTATTCTCCTTCCAAACGCCAATCTCCTGCTTCTTTGGCACCATCATCTTAGGCCTTGGCTCACCAATGACCACTTTCTTTCCCTTGGTAGATTCGGCTTGCTCCGGCCGAATCAACACCTTCTTATTATTGAAATTAATTGTATTCACCGGAAAAGGATCATGATCAAACTTCATCTTGGAGCCATCGGTGAATTTCAATCGTCCCTCATCTATGGCCGATTGAACCTGTCGTCGAAACACATTGCAATCATTAGTAGAGTGAGAATGAGAATTATGCCATTTACAATATGCTCGACGCTTCTTGAGAAGGTATGACATGGCCTTTAGGTAATCTAATTTGCTTCTCTTGCAAAAGATAATCAAAATCTTATCACACTTAGCCACATCAAAACTATATTTAACCTCACTTTGCCGATCTTTACGAAGAGTCGGCATTAAGTTAGAACAAACAAAAGGTTTATTTTTGTTAGTCCATGACCATTCGGCAACATAAATATCATGATCACCCTCCTCCTCACTATCACTAGCATCAGAGTAATCAACTGCATTAACATTAGGATTTTTGTCTAATGGTCTAGCAAATTTTTTATTATCTTTAACCTGGCTTTCTTGAGCCAGAGCCCTTTACATAAGTTGACTAACATCAAGAAATTGTTGGCCATCTAGTTTTTCTCTAAGAGGAGCAACTAAACCATTAAAAGCAAGACCGGCCAAATCTCTATCAGTTATATTCAAAGTATAACATCGGTTTCTAACATCTCTAAATCTCTTAATATAGTCAACAACAGATTCATTATACTTTTGCTTAACCGATGTTAAATCACATAACCTAAGCTCAGTTTCTCCAGTATAGAAATAATCATGAAATTGTTCCTCTAATTGAGACCAAGTATGAATAGAATTTGCCGGTAAAGAAGTAAACCATGTAAAAGCATTACCGGATAAAGATAAAGAAAACAAGCGCAATTTAAAAGTATCACTATTAGCCTCACCACATTGCGCTAAAAATTGACCTACATGTTCCCATGTGGTCTTACCATCTTCACCACTAAATTTGGAAAATTCGGGAACTCTATAATTTCTAGGAAACGACACATTATCATAATAATCGGGATATGGCTTTTTGTAAGCTCTAGCACGATTCCTAGTTTCGATCCCGAATCTATTCCTCATAATATCACTAATCATATCCTCCATGTTATTAGGCCCTTGTGGATTTGGTGGTGGGTTTGGTGGCCTAATAGGTTGAGTTTGTGACGCAATATGATTATATTGGCCTTGCCTAGTATCGGGAGGATATCCCCTAGAAACATCATTATAAACGTTAGAAATATGTGGGGGAATTTGAGGATTAGTGGTAGCAGTAGATACAGGAGGATCAAATGTTCTAAAGTGATACAAATAACTAGCATTAGTCATTGGATCAATTCCCTGTATCGGGACGATTGCGCCGGTCTGACCGGCTCAGGGCCCGGTCTGACCGGCGTCATGTTGCGCGGTCGGACCGGCCTGAGGGCCGGTCTGACCGGTGGGATAATACCCGGTCTGACCGGCCATCTGGCCGGTCGGACCAACGGCTGTGTCGCTGTCTGACCGGCCATCAGGCCCGGTCGGACCGGCCGTGAACGCCGCTCCGTCGGTTTTAGACCCTATTGGATCTATGGGAGATTGACTAACAGTGGTATAGGCTTTATCTTTTAATGTGTAATCATCCATAAGAGAACCTAGCCTATTCCTTAAAAACCCATCAACCTTTTCCTTAAACATTACATCTAATCTATCTTTAAAATTAACCATAGATGAATCTATTGTAGATGCAATTTGTTGGTTGATAGATTGCGATACCTCGTCATTACTTACCATGTCGGGAGCGAGTTTGGGACGTGGCCCGGGCTTGATGATCACGCCTTGACGAGTCCTAGTAGTTGCTCTCATCAACGCCTCCCGTGTGAGCTCGTTGATGTGCTCTTCCATGGCTTTACGATCCTCTCCTTCAAAGTCATCCAATGTGACCGGTATCACATGAGATGGCTCCACCTCCGTCTTAGATGATGGCTTCGTCATGGCGAAGTCGAAGTCGAGTTGACGATGAACGGATCTTGTCCCCAGCGGAGTCACCAAAAATCGTGTTGGCAACTTTTTTGACAAGTTGACAAGCACGATCGCAGCACCTTAAGCCTTGCGGTGATCCTAGAGTCGCCAACCACCTCGATTTAGCAAAGAGCTAAGCCTAGATGGGTTTTGATAACTAAACCGGCTAGTGGAGCCGATTTCTAAATAACTACCCGTCTCGTGGGCAAAACGGAAGGTTTTCAGGACAAACCTACAAAGAGATGTCGCACTCTCGCAGCGGCAGCGGACGGTTTACGGCGCAAACCGACAAAGATGGACAAACTAAGAGAAAACTAAAAGCAATATGAAAAGAACGATTCGATTGATTGATAGTAGATTATTTTTTACAATGAACCGGCCTTGTCCCTTATATAGGGGTTGGTCTTGCCCTCTACAGGCCCTTCTTCACGTCCAACTCGGGGTAGAAACCAAAGGAAACCCGAAACATGCCTTCCCGAGCAAGGAAACCTCGAAACCCGACGCAACAGAATCGGATTCGGGCCTGCCGGTCAGACCGGCCACATACCGCCGGTCTGACCGGCCTTCAACCGGCGGTCTGACCGTCCAACACACGGCGGTCAGACCGGCCTACCTCGAAGGAAACCAGTAGACTTCCAAATTTTGGCAATATTTCCTATTTTAAGCCTAGGTGCTAAATTTGGGTGTAAACAGGAACCTCGGGGGTCGGTCGTTGTGATGTTGCCCGTCAGTGCCGCCACCCGGGCCAGACGAGGAAGAGGACTTTTCCTTGTCCTTCTTCAACGTCGCGACGTCGGTCTGCAGGGCGGCGATCGTGCCGGTGAGGCTCTCGATCAGCTTGGCGAGGTCGGCGTTGGAGGGTTCCACCATTGGTGCGGTGACGGAGGTGGCTGATGGTGGAGATGGTGGAGGGCTGAGTGGTGGCGCGGCGGCTGGGAATGGAGCGGCGGCGTTGGGTGGGTCGGCGGAGCAGGAGGATGAGGATCGGCGTGACCGTGATACCAGGTTGTCAAGGGCGTCAAGGCCCCTGGTAGCTGGACCGCGGCTACGTAATTCGTAGCCGGAATCCGTCTTCTCCGGCGAGGTTTTACCCCTCAGCCGTAGGTTCAGGTTTGGGAGAGAGAAGAGGAGATTAGGTGAGTGATTCTTGATTTTTTTTCTCCACAGTGCCGAATACAAGACTCAAAAATAGTCCACAGACTGAATCGAACATGCCTACAATTAAGGAAGAAACAAGGAAACTAATCCCTTCTTTCTAATCTTAGCCATTCCCGGTGGCTTCCTCAGCTGTGCGCTGGGCGCGCTCTGTAGCGCGGCGCACGTCACGCGCGCGACGGCGTCTCGCGTACGTGCGGCCCCACATGACAAGTAGATCCTGCTGAAAGATGACCTGCTTTAGTGCATTACTGCGAAGGTCATTTTTGTTTTGGATCATAGCAAAAATCACCGAGTTGGATAATACCATAGCATATGCCATTAACATGGCCCCCGCATGTCATTCTCACATGTAATGGTATTTCTAACCGGTGCATCTTTATACTACTAATTTTTCTGTTAATATAGTGATCTCATAAAAAAGAAGAATTGGAAGCAGAAATGAACACAAGCATGATACACTGGCATGGCTGCACCTGCAAAAAATTACTGAAGAAACAAAACTTACCTGCTATCACAGATGCAATATTCCAATTGTCTGTAGCAGCAGTTCAAGGTTCGTACACAGATACTCCCTCCATGGCTCCATCCATAAATGTTTGAGGCGCTTTGACTTTTTTAAACATATTTGACCGTTCGTCTTATTCAAAAATTTAAGTAATTATTAATTCTTTTCCTATCATTTGATTCATTGTTAAATATACTTTTATGTATACATATAGTTTTACATATTTCACAAAAGTTTTTAAATAAGACGAACGGTCAAACATGTTTAAAATAGTCAACAGCGTCAAACATTTAGGGAAGAAGGGAGTAGTTTAGATAGAAGTAGGTAATTTGGTTGCTTGTATGGTACAATTAGAGTTGCAACGAGATGCTGCTTGATTGTTTACTTATTTTGATGGGTGACAAGGTTAAATAGATCTGAGGTGTGATAGACAGATGCTTTGCAACCCCTCATCTGCCTTATCCCACCCTAATAACTCAGTACTTAGCAGTTAGCACCAGCAAGATGCTTATTGTATTTGCTGAACATGACGTAGGGAGCATTTCTCATTTACAGATATATTCATATAGTTAATACACATAACTGGTCCTCAGAATCTAAAACTTAATAAGAGCAAGGTCAATAGTATAGCTAACTACTGGCTCCAAAACATCTATAGCCAATCTAATAGCCCATTCATACAATAGTTAACTATAAAAATATACTGTACCATTAATACACGGTCCCACCTCTCATACACACATAACATCTTGGAGTCCGTGTTGCAGCCGGCTACAAATCTGTAGCCCGCTTTCTTCTCTCTCTTCTCTTTTCTTCTCGATATATGGTTACAGCCGGCTTATAGCCTGCTATTGTACCTGCTCTTAAGCGCATCCCGCCTGGGGGTCTGGTTCCACTAATTGCACTATAGCAATCACTTGTAAATAACCATAAATGTTGGGGTTTACCTTTTCTTTCTAAAAAAAACTACTTTTCCTGCGGTGTGCACACGGAAAGCTTGTGTGCACAGGATACGTTCACTTAATCAAAATATCAATCAAATCTAAATTCTCTTGTTTGGTATTTGCAGGTTCACATGTCAAAGTAATTGCAGGTACTGCTCAATCCAAATCTTCCTTTGTTCAAATCAAAGTAAAAAGAAAGAAGAAAATCTATCTGTTACATACAGAGTCTTATTTTTATCTACTACTGTCATACATTCTCTTTTACACATTACAATCACCAAGTCTGGTGTCTTTATATTTTCTATCCTAATCAACGTGTCGATAGTATGCTCCTCCTTCGATTTATGTGGTAGCATGGTTTTCCCAGCATGTTCCTCTATTCCATTTTCCTGAGTTATAAGACCTTAGTATCAATAAAAGTTAGGCTATGAGACTTTGGGCAGAAAGAATGCAATGCACTAATTTCTCTCTGCATAATCAGCTACATCATCGGTTACCGCATTTGTTGTTCTTTTATCAATGGTAGCCATTGCACTTTATCTTTCACTGAAGACAAGATATAACGAAGAGATACACATGAAGGTAGAAATGTTTCTCAAAACGTATGGCACATCAAAACCCACAAGGTACACTTTCTCCGAAGTGAAGAAGATAGCAAGACGGTTCAAGGTTAAAGTAGGACAAGGAGGATTTGGAAGTGTGTACAGAGGCGAGCTACCAAATGGAGTCCCTGTGGCGGTCAAGATGCTAGAAAATCCAAAAGGAGAAGGAGACGAATTCATCAATGAGGTCGCGACTATCGGGAGAATCCATCATGCAAACATTGTCCGCCTCCTTGGCTTTTGCTCAGAAGGAACAAGGCGGGCTCTCATTTACGAATACATACCCAATGATTCGCTGGAGAAATATATATTTTCACATGATTCTAATACTTCTCAAGAACTCCTAGTACCAAGCAAGATGCTAGATATTGCTTTAGGCATTGCCCGAGGAATGGAGTACCTGCATCAAGGATGTAACCAGCGTATCCTCCACTTTGATATCAAACCTAACAACATCTTGCTGGACTATAACTTCAGCCCGAAGATTTCAGACTTTGGCCTTGCAAAGCTGTGTGCAAGGGACCAAAGCATCGTTACCTTGACTGCAGCAAGAGGCACGATGGGCTATATTGCACCAGAGCTATATTCTCGGAACTTTGGGGAGATATCTTACAAGTCAGATGTTTACAGTTTCGGCATGCTGGTACTAGAAATGGTCAGTGGAAGGAGGAATTCAGACCCAAGTGTTGAAAGCCAAAATGAGGTTTACTTCCCAGAGTGTATCTATGAACAGGTTACCACTGGGCGGGATTTGGAACTTGGTAGGGAAATGACTCAAGAAGAGAAAGAAACAATGAGACAGCTGGCCATTGTGGCACTATGGTGCATTCAATGGAACCCAAAGAACCGGCCATCAATGACAAAGGTGGTGAACATGCTAACAGGGAGGTTGCAGAATCTACATGTGCCACCTAAACCATTTTTCTCAGCTGATAGCCATCCTATAATGTAAGACTTGCAGAACATGCTGCCATAATTTAGTAAAAGAATATGTGATAGATAAACTAAATGCAATGTAATAAATGCATAGCGACAGCATGCAATGTATTCTCTTATTGTTCCATTCTATTAGCCACCTGAAATACATTCAACGATGAAATTGGAAAATTGTAGTTCAATTGCCACGGATACCTCATTCTGTTGATGTGCTTTTGCATGCCCGTGCATTTGTTGTGCTCTGTGAGTCGTCAATATGACCAATTCATGAGCCAGACGAATCTGGTGGAAAACTGGAAGTGAATAATTAACTCCATAATTTATATAGAAAAGAAGAGCTGAAATCAAATCAAAGGTGTTACCTCTGTCAATTCGAAGTGTAGGAGTCTGATCTCAACTCCCGAGAGCTGCAAACCTGAGCAGGAAGCCCTCACATAGCTAGCTTGAGGAGAGGGAGGTGGAAGCTCCGGTCTGGGAGGCGGAAACCTCGGCATGGTTAGGAGAGAGAGGTGTCGCGAGCGGCACAGAAGAGAAGGGCGGAGGTGGCTCCGGCGATCGGCCAGCGCCATGGTAGTGTGGCACTGCAGCCTGGGGGGCGGACGTTTGAGCAGCTCAGGTGGCACGTCTTCCTCGGGAACCCCACGCGCCTCCGGCGAGCCGAAGAGGCGGCGGGGTGCGCCGGCGACCGAGAAGGTGAACGACAAGTGAACCAGGAGGAATTTCCCTAGCCCCAACATCCCTTCCAGCCCAAACAAATGGGCCGCACGTAATTCCCCAACCCTTTGTTGGGCCGCACCTGGTCCTAAGTCAGAATCTGTTTCGGTCGAATTACTGTGGGCCGTTCCATTCCAGCCCACACAATCGACACGAAAGGTGGCAGTGGCACCCTCCTGGGCTGTCCTGGCATTGGTCTGACTAGAGTTTATACAAAAAGAGAGAAAAAACGCAAAGCAAATGAATTTTACCATCATCGATGCCTGACATTCTGACAAGGAGATCTCTCTCGCCGTGTGTTTCGGTCTTACAACAACAGCGACGAGATTTACGAAAAGCAGCAAAACACTAAGTCTTGTGTAAACTCTTTCAAAGTCTTAATCTTTTTCAGATACTCGGTAAATAGTACGAGCTCACTTTATTTGCTTATTATATGTGCTACAAACTTACAATATACATAAAAACTATTGAAGTTACAATATATCGATCTCAGCATATTGAAGTTTCGACAGCAAAATGGGCATACAAATTAAGTAAATACAGTCATCATAAATGTACTTGCTACTAAGTTACTGGTAGCTTTCGAACAGACATATGCTTTCGTCGTCGTCGTCCTCATGCTCCTCGGAGATTGCAGTTAGATCAGATGGCATATTGTAAGACTCCACTCCAGGGAATTGCTCATCATCACAGAAGAATGGCCTTGGAGGAACCTGCAGTTCATCACTACCACCTTCAAGCATCTCTATCACCTCGCTCATCGTCGGTCGATCACACGACCTCATCTGAATGCACCATAATCCAACAATGCAAAGCTTCTTCTCTAGTTCATGCATGTCAGCAATATCAGAGATCTCGCTTGTTTCTCGCCGAGTCAGCTCCCTGTACACCCGTGATGGATAATATGCTTGACTTTTTTTTTTCGCCGGGTCGGCAAAGAACGCCGACCATAGTATATTAAGAATTTGGAGAATGTACAGAGATGGCGAGGCTTCACAGCCACCGCCTATTTACAAGATGCCACACCACTATCCGGAGAACCCGGAGGAAACCACAGAGGGGCCTCTCACAGCGCCGTTAACAAGCTGGCCGCCTTCCAAGACTCCCATTCATCTTCAATGGCTGCGCAGAGCAAAGAAGACGATGTCGCCACGCCCTCGAAGACCCGAGCATTTCGTTCCTTCCAAATCAGCCACGTAATTAGGATGATGCCCGCGTCAAACGTTTTTCTATCAATCTTGGCAATCTTCTTGCGCGCTTCGCACCACCACCCCTGAAAGTCCGAGGCAGGCTTCGGGCAGCGGAGACCAAGTCGATCCCGGACGGACTCCCACACTGCCTGAGTGAAGGAACAGTGAGTTTGCTGCATTTGGATCTGCATTCCTTCTTCCTCCAGCCATCTCCAAAAGTAGCATTCCGAAGCTATAAACATCGGATTTGCTTGATATGACACCAAAACTCCGAGAGATCATCTCAGGAGCTATGTAGCCCACGGTTCCTCGTGCGGCACTCACTGGGACAAAGCTCTTATCTCTTGGGTACAGCTTGGCAAGGCCAAAATCTGCAACTTTTGGGACAAAGTTATCATCAAGAAGGATGTTATGCGGCTTGATGTCAAAGTGTAGAATCTGCATCTCACATCCCTGATGCAGGTAGTTGATCCCTCTTGCAATACCCAAGGCGATCTCATTCAGCTTGTCCCAGGAGAAACTCTTCTCTGGCGAGAAGATGTACTTGTCAAGAGAGCCTCGAGGCATGTACTCGTATATAAGTGCCCTCCTCATTTCTTCAGTGCAAAACCCGACCAGACGCACCACATTGACATGGTGGATCCTTCCAATGGTTGATACTTCACTGATGAACTCATCTCCGTTGCAGCTGGAGCTACCAGTCAGCATCTTGACGGCAATATGGAGATTACCCGGGAGCAATACACCTTTATATACAGAGCCATAGCCTCCTTGGCCTAGCTTGTCTCGAAAATGTGATGTGATTGCAATAATGTCTGTGTAGGCAAACCTCATCGGACCAATCATCTGCTGCATTCGGAGGAACTTCTCTACCGCGTCGATCGTGATCCTTGTTTTCCAGTACTTATGGGCAAGGAAGATGAATATCACCAGTGACCCCAACAGTAACCTGAATAAAACTTCTCAAACAAACCAACATACATGTATATAAGTTAGTATATATATGTTCATACATGATATCACCGGTGTGATGATTAAAAGCAAGTAATTCGTACGTACCGAAATGAAACTTGGTGATATCAATAGCCGATACCATGATTCCCAAAAAAATCATGTCTTTCTTGGAGGCACCTAGATTACTGCAATCTACTTCGGAGTATGTTTCATTCCAGAAAAGAGCACGGGTTAAATCTTGAATGCTTGCACGAGATGTATGCTGCTTGAAGTACCTGCAAATCACACCATTGTACAAGACGGGGTTATAAGTGAAGGAACCACATCTGTTTTATAAAAACAGAATCATGAGAAAAACAAAACTAATTAACTTGCGTTTGAGCGCAGACTCACCTCTTTGAACCCTTCAGGCATTCCGTGACGCTGATATCATTACTCTGGTAAGGACCAATTGGAAACGAAACACTAACTCCTTTCCTTATGAATCCTATGATATCTGTGTAACTTGCATTCTGTAGCTGTGAGTCCGATATATGCCAACCATCAAAGGGAATCATGGCCAAATATCGACATGAAGGTTGAAACTCTCCAACGGCACAGTCATCAAACGAGACAAAAACAAATGAATTGTTGGGAAGCAGACATGTAACGGGCCTGTACCTTGGCATAATATCTGTTATTGCTCGGAAACAATTCACAAAGCATGCCCAATTGCGTGAAACAGTGTACAAATCGATAGCGCCATAAGAATCAGTTGAAGTTTTCCCCGAATACAGACGCCAGTAATTCTTCGTGTAAGGAAGGTGATCAGAGCGAGGAAGAGGACAACTGCTGCCGTTTGTATCATCATCTTGCAAGGTGGCATCCACAACCCAGAATTCCTCCCCGGTATAGTTGATGCTAGTCACGTAGTACGTCCCTTTGTTGATCTGAATGGCAGCCCTGCCATTGTTACATGAGAGGTTGTACCATGGACGAGGAGTAGCAACGCACTGACGTGAATCGCCTTCAAGACGGAAAGGGTAGGATATGTTGCCAAGATGGCCACAGGAGGAAGGAGGACAGTACTGGGGGTTTAGCCCTGTTCCAACAACTTCTGCTGCAACAACCGCAAGCAAAGAGGAGAGAAGTAGAGATTTCGCCATGGCTGCAGCTTCCATTCCCAGTCCGTCCCTAGAGAAATGACCACTATAATTGGCAGGGATTAGCCTTGCTGAGTATTAATTTGGTGGGGTCGGGGTGGGTGCTTTAACTGGGGAGATACTGACTACTAGTACTATCTTTTTCTTTTTCAATGTATGATTCTGTTGACTTTTCAGATAATATTTAATTGTTCTTCTTATTCAAAAATTCAGTGCAAACATATATATATAAATAAAGTAAGGTTAGGGTCTCTTTGATGACAAAATAAATCACAACAAAAAAACATTCTTATAAATTTTTTGAGCAAGACGGATAGTCAAACGTTATGACAAAAGTTAACGACGTCATACATTAAAAAACAGAACAGAGTAACTATCTCTCTTTCATAATATATAAAAGAAATAGACTTAGACCAGGTATTAGAAAAAGTATGTAAAATTAAACGAGAGAATGTTGTGATTGTTTAAGAGAAAAAAGTAGACAAAAAAAATTTAAATATTGAAAGATTGTGATTGGTTGAGAAGGAAATGTAGGTAAAGAAGTTGTTATATTTTAGAACAAATTTTAAATACTAATAGTAGAATTTGTTTTATTTTAAGACAGGAACGAGTATTAATTTTTGGGACTTTTATGGAAGCACTCAATTTCCACACCTGTCAATTTCCTCCGTGTAATACACGGTACAGTACCTATAGGTAACGGTCAATCGCGATCCAATAAAGTAGGAGAGCCAAGCTCCCCCATTTCCATTAAGAGAAATGAGCATTTGCCAGATGTTTGAGGGTTTCTACAAATAAACCCTTTCCCAGACAGATAACAGGTCCAGCTAAGCTAACCAAGCAAACCCTCAAAAGATCTACCTATAGGTCTTTTTCCACACGGCAGGATGGATGCTGCTGCGATTCACTAGACTGCAGGCAGCTTCCGGCCGGGTACTACACTGTGGTATAGTGGTGTCCATCTTTTAACTCGACGCAACGCAACATTGCCCTGCCTTGCTTACTTGTTGGATCGTCTCCATCTCGCCTGCCTGTCACAGTGCATACAGAAAATAGGATGAGAGGATTTCTTGCAGCAACCCTCCTGGTGTTGAGCCTTCTTCTCAACCTGCACACAGCAGCGTCAGTGTCAGCGTGGGAAGACAAGGATTTCTTCAGCTACTGCCCGCCGTCGAGGTGCGGCGAGCATGGCCCCGAGATCAGGTTCCCTTTCAAACTTGAATCCAAAAATACACCATCGTCATGTGGCGTGCCATGCATGAAGCTATCATGCTCTGGCCAATATACCATCCTACATAACAAATACCTTGGAAGGCCATACAAGTTGACCGCCATAGATTACAAGCATGCTCTCCTGACCGCCGTCCCGCTCGCAGACGAAGACAACTACTCCTCACCGTCTCCCTGCCCACTTCTAAAATCCATATCTATCAGGCCAAACTTAATAACAGGGCCAGGCTATGGTTATTACAACACAGGGTACCAGAACCCTTGCCAAACATACGATACCTACTATGCAGCACTAGTAAGCTGTTCAACAGAATTTGCCCTAGCTAGTGTCCCTGGCACTGCCACCGATAACGATTATATTGCTGGCCCCATCTCTTGCCTTAGCAACCAAACCCACTTCTCCTATTTGGTGGCTTATCGTGTAACTATGTCTCTTCTTCCGTTGGACTGCGAGGTCATCTCAGATGGCCCCATTCCGATACCAGCTTTTTATTACTCCGGTTATATCCCATCCATGTTCACAACAAGTGCAGACAGAATCCTCGACTATCCTTCCGGTTATGTCTTATCCACGTTCAGAGAAAGTGCAGAAAGAATCCTCAATTCTTCTGAGACCATGATCTGGTGGTATTTCTACAAGTACGATGGCAGACATTGTGAACAACAAGGCCGACGCTGCGCATTCAGCTCACAAAGGAATCAAACATTCTGCATGGGTAGAGGTATTATTTCTTACTGGCCAAACAACTACTCCTATACAACTCGCAGTACCATTCTTGTTTATCATCTGTAAGTTTTACAATTTCCAATTTACAGCCCCACACATATCCATGCTAGTGCTATTTGATCGTCAAAATCCAGCAAAACACTGGCAATTATGCCCGATGGATAAGAAAACAATATTTATCAGCACATGAGCATCACTTATATTATCTTTATTTAAGACCCACTTATATTATCTGATCATCTTAAAAACTGAAAGCAGGAAATGACCATAACCTTGATATGCCAGCACATTCATGCATGGTTGCACTTGAATAAAGTTACCAAAGAAGCAGAACTTATTTGGTCACAACTGTAGCATTCCGATTGCCTGTAGCAGAAGTTCAAGGGATACAGGTAGCTCAGATGGGATGAGACTTGAGGGTATACAAGTAATACCTCCGTTTTCAATATATGACATGGATGACTCTTGAACATACTTTTAATATACTTAAAAATGGAGGGAGTAGGTATTTTGGTCTATTGTGTGATACAACGAGAGCTGCAGTAAGATGATGCTTGGTTGCTTTGATGGCTGTTGAGGTTAACATAGATCTGAGATGTGGTGTGTAGATAATTTTGTAACCCTTTTTCCACGTTATCCCACCCTAACCATTCTTAATCTGCCATTCCGTCTTGCTTAGCCACCATCATTAGCACATGGCAACTTGCTTATTAGTATGAGTTATGATATCTGCTGAACAAAACGTAGGGATCATTTCTCACTTACAAATATATTCATATATAGGCCTTGTTTAGTTCTAAATTTTTTTCTTCAAACTTCCAACTTTTCCATCACATCAAAACTTTCCTACACACATAAACTTCCAACTTTTTTCTTCAAACTTCCAATTTTAGTCAAATTTCCAATTTTGGTGTGGAACTAAACACAGCCATAATTGAATAATTCAAACACATCTGATTCCACAGAATCTAAAACTTACACGCACTCCACTGGGTGTCTGGTCTTCCATACTGCACTATAGCAGTCAGCTGTATACCCATGTCAGATTTTACCTTTTCTTTCTCAAGTCAATTTCTCCTCTCTTTTTTTCCTAACGAAACTATCGATCAAGTCTGAATTCTCTTGTTTGGTTTTTGCAGGTTCACATGTCAAAGTAATAGCAGGTATTGGTTCAATAATCCAAACCTTCTTTTGTTCAATGAAAGTAAAATAAAAGGAACAAATTAAAGTTATCTATCACATACTAAGTCTTATTATTAGCTCCTCTGGTCTTATAATCTCTTATCATTATTACAATCCTAATGGTGGCTCTCTAATTTATATTCGTAATCAATGTGTTGATAGTCTATTTGCTCTTCTGTTTGTACGGAAAGATGGTTTTGCCAGCATATTCCTCTACATTGCTTTTCTGAGCTAAGTCTTATAAATATAAGTTGGGCTGTGAGCCTTCTGTCTAGAAACAACACAATGCACTAACTTTTATTATCTGCATCATCAGCTACATCTTCGGTTGCTGCATTTGTTATTCTTCTGTTGATGGTGGCCACTGCACTATATCTTTCACTGAGGACAAGATATAATGAAGAGATACATCTGAAGGTAGAAATGTTTCTCAAAACATATGGCACATCGAAACCCACGAGGTACACTTTCTCCGAAGTAAAGAAGATAGCAAGCCGGTTCAAGGTTAAAGTAGGACAAGGTGGATTTGGAAGTGTGTACAGAGGTGAGCTACCAAACGGAGTCCCTGTGGTGGTTAAGATGCTAGAAAACTCCAAAGGGGAGGGAGATGAATTCATCAATGAGGTTGCAACTATCGGGAGAATCCACCATGCAAACATTGTCCGCCTCCTTGGCTTTTGCTTAGAAGGAACAAGGCGGGCTCTCATTTACGAATACATGCCTAACGATTCGCTGGAGAAATATATATTTTCACATGATTCTGATACTTCTCAAGAAGTCCTAGTGCCAAACAAGATGCTAGATATTGCTTTAGGCATTGCCCGAGGAATGGAGTACTTGCATCAAGGATGCAACCAGCGTATCCTCCACTTTGATATCAAGCCTCATAACATCTTGCTGGACTATAACTTCAGTCCGAAGATTTCAGACTTTGGCCTTGCAAAGCTGTGTGCAAGGGACCAAAGCATCGTTACCTTGACTGCAGCAAGAGGCACGATGGGCTATATTGCACCAGAGCTATATTCTCGGAACTTTGGAGAGATATCTTACAAGTCAGATGTTTATAGTTTCGGCATGCTGGTGTTAGAAATGGTTAGCGGAAGGAGGAACTCAGACCCAAGTGTTGAAAGCCAAAACATGGTCTACTTCCCAGAATGGATCTATGAACAGGTTACCGCTGGGCAGGATTTGGCACTTGGTAGGGAAATGACTGAAGAAGAGAAAGCAACAACGAGACAGCTGGCCATTGTGGCACTATGGTGCATTCAGTGGAACCCAAATAACCGGCCATCAATGACAAAGGTGGTGAACATGCTAACAGGGAGGTTGCAGAATCTACAGGTGCCGCCTAAGCAGTTTTTCTCAGCTGACAGCCATCCTACTCTGTAAGACTTGCACAACATGGTACCATAATTCAGTAGAGGAATATGTGATACATATAAACTTAGTACACATTTTGCAATAAATGCCTAGCATTAGCATGCAATATATTCTTATTATGCCAAGCCACATGAAGTGCCACTCTTCACTGTATAAAAATTCAATGAGGGAATTGGATATTTGTGGTTCAGTTGTCGTGGGTTACCTTATTGTGTCGTTGCTGTGATTTATCCTCACCATGATTTATTCTGTGGTGCTCCCCCTGTGAAGTTGTCTGAAGTCCTTGTCCAATTTATGAACCAGAATCTGGTGGAAATTTCACAGGAGGATTGTATTAACTGTGTGAGTAAGACTCATATCTGTCCCATCATGGAATTGAGCGCAGTAGTTCCAAAATTTAGATAGAACAGAAGAAATCAAATCAGAAAGTGTTACCTTAGTCTATGGCTATCGAAAAGCAGCAGCGATCATCGCGGGAAGACCGAAGACCTAAGACCTCGACTCGCTTGCGGGGGTCGTCTTTCCCAGCACTATTACCCTCCCTCCTCATCCCATCCAAGCCCCCAGATCCCGCGAGATGGGTGGTGGTGGTGGAAGGTGACGACGTGGACCACATGGGGACGGGATGGAGACCGGGGAGGAGGGAGGAGGGAGGAGGATAGAGGAAGATGCAGGTCGGCTCCGGTGTGGGGGACACGGTGAGCGCGCGGCGGCGGAGGAGAGTGGGAGGCGGCTCCGGCGACCGGCCAGCGCGCCGGCGGATGAGGAATGCTGGATGCCAAGGCAAAGGGGATGCTCGGCTCGCGAAATCGCCGCCGCCGCTTTAGCCGGAGCTCGCCGGGAAGTGTGGTGGGGCGGAGGCGGAGCAATCACAATCTAATTAAGGCCTAGTTTCGATGGCCCATCTAGGCCTGGCCCATCAAGTCAATCACAATCCCTTTCCGGCCCAGATATATATGTTTGTGGGCTTTGCAAAAGGAAACTTAATTAACAAGACCACTAAAATCCTGCCATTAGCAATGGTCATCTTGATAACTTGGTCATTAGCAGGCAGCAGGTTAGCAGCTAGCACAAAAATACTACTCCCTCCATCCTAAAATATTTTGACGCCGTTGATTTTTTTAAACATGTTTAACCGTTTGTCTTATTCAAAAAATTTAAGTAATTATTAATTATTTTCCTATCATCTATCTATTATATTATTAAAACAGCTCTGAAAGGGAGCACCACGTTCGGTGCGGGAGATAGAAATTCCCACATTAATCGAAGAAAAACAAAAAAAAAGAAAAAGAGAGTCCAAGTAGAAGTACAATTTAAAAATAGCTGAAATTCGGAATTAAAAATAAGCAATAGTGAAAGAAGTTTCCATATAAGAACCCAATACGAGATTAATCAAAATTCAAAATAAAAATAAAATAAAATCCAAAATTAGAAAAGAAAAGGAGAGCCCGAGTAGAAATACAATTTAAAAATAGTTGAAATTCAGAATTAAATATAAACAATATTGATTGAAGTTTCCATATAAGAACCCAATACGAGATTAATCAAAATTCGAAATAAAAATAAAATAAAATCCAAAATAAGAAAAGGTGATGAGAGTCCAAGTAGGAATACAATTTAAAAATAGCTAAAATTCGGAATTAAAAAGAAGGAATATTAAAAGAAGAGTCCATATAAAAACCCAATACGAGATTAATTAAAATTCAGAATAAAAATAAATAAATCCGAAATTAGCAAAAGAAAATAAAAGAAGAGTTCAAGTAGGAATACAATTTAAAATTAGCTAAAATTCGGAATTAAAAATAAGCAATATTGAAAGAAGAATCCATATAAGAACCCAATACGAGATTAATTAAAATTTAGAATAGAAAATAAAATAATATCCAAAAATAGAAAGGGGCAATTGCAAATTTATCACTACTTTGAACCGTTATTACAAAACTGCCACTAGAAAATTGCAAAAATATCACTAGAACTGTCATTCGAGTGGCATCCTTGCAATATTGAAAAAACCAGTGGTAAATTTGCAAACGCCCCAAATAGAAAAATTAAAAGAGAGTTCAAGTAGGAATACAATTTTGAAACAACTGAAATTGAAAATATAAAATAAAAACATTAAAAGAACACAGTACGGTATTAACTAAAATTTAAAAAAAATCTGAAATTAGAAAAAGAAAATTAAGATTTCAATTAGGAATACAATTTATAAATAACTAAAATTTGTGATAAAAATTAAGATTATTGAAAGAAAAGACCATCTAAAACACATGACGAGATAAATTAAGTAACATGCCTATAAAGGAGTAGAGTGGTGGCGGTTGATATGACATATAAAAATTGTTAATAAAACACCTAATAGAATCCTAATGACGATTAAAAGGAGGGACGTCAGACAGGCCGTGAAGTAAACGAGTAAGGCGGTTGTCGGGACTTCTAGAAAGTAAAAAAACAAACCCCATTGATAATCATATTCGATTTTTAAAATCTCAATGATAATAAAAAGGAGAAGCAGCGGGCGGGGTGTATAAGAGTATAGTTGCAGAGCCGCCGACGGTTGACAGGACTTATAGAAAATAAAAAATGAATTCCAACGATAGTTATGTTCGATTTTTAGAATCACAATGATAATAAAGAGTAGGCGGCGGACGGGCTGTAGAGGGTGATGAGGACATCCTCCACTATTATTTGTTCAGCCTCGGCCAACCTCACCTGGGGGCATAGTGGCATCGTTTGATGTGACTTCTAAAACTTATAAAAAAATAAAACTACAAGTCCAATTTTTAAAGGTTCGGAACTTCTAAAAAGTTAAAAAAAAAAGAAAACCAATGATAATCATGTTTGATTTTAAAATCTAAATGATAATAAAGAAGGGAGGCAGCGGGCGAACCGTAGAGGAGTACAATGGCAAAGCCGCTGACGGTTTGGCGGGACTTCTAAAAAGTAAAAATAAACCCAAACGATAATTATGTTCGATTTTTAAAATCTCAATAACAATAAAGAGAAGAGACAGTGGCAACGTTTGACGGGACATCTAGAAATTATAAAAATGAAACCCAACATGACAATAAACTCCAAAAACTATAAAATCCAATTTTTAAAGGTTCCAAGAAGAATGAATATAAATAGTGGTAGATCGAGCAAGTAAATAAAAAAGAAGATGACATAAGGGGTAGCAACTGGTGTGACTTTTAAAAACTATATAATTAGAAACACGAGGATGGTAAGGTTTGGTCTTTCAAAGTCTTAAGACAATGAGATAGCTATTTAACAAATTTTAAGTAAAATCATACTTAAAAAAAATATGATTTTGTTTGGGTGCTAGCCGCGTAATTGCGTGGGCCACCCAGCTAGTTATATTATTAAAGAAATAGAAAAAGAAGCCTCCACGTTTGCTCCCATGGCCTAGAAATTCTGACATTAATCGGAGAAAAATAAAAAACAGAGTCCATATAGGAATACAATTTAATAATAGCTGAAATTCGGAATTAAAAATAAGGAATATAGGAAGGTAGGTCTAAAGTCCATATCGATATACAATAAAACTAATAGAAATTCAGAATTAAAAAATAAGAAAAAAAATAAATGTAGAGGTTAGAATCCATCTAGAAATACAATTTAGAAATAAAGAAATTCAAAATTAAAAAATATATTGGATGAAGAATATAGAGTCCATAAAGAAATAGAATTTAAAAATAATTAAAATTCCGAATTAAAAAATATTGAAAGATAAGTTTAGAATCCATATATAGAAATACAATTTAGAAATAATATAAATTAGGAATTAAAATAAGGAATATTGGAAGAAGAGTATAGAATCCATATTAGAATCTTAAAATTCAGAATAAAACTAATAAAATTAAAGTAGAATTTAGAGTACATATAGAAATACAATTTACAAATAACTAAAATTAGAAATTAAAAAAGGAATATTAGAAGTTCGCTCTCATGAGACACGCAAAATTATGTTGTCATTTTAATATATTTGAATAATACATTGAGAAAACATATATGTTATTATAAGAGAGAAACTATAATGATGCTAGCTGCGCAATCTGCGCGGGCCACCATGCTTGTTTGATTTATTGTTAAATATACTTTTATGTATACATATAGTTTTACATATTTCATAAAAATTTTTAAATAAGACGAACGGTCAAACATGTTTAAAAAAGTCAACGGCGTCAAACATTTAGGGATGGGGGGAGTAGTTTATTCATAGTCATTTTACATACACGTAAAACAACTTCAATCTGCTAGGTAAATAAGTTCAAGCTGGACTAGCTTACAATGGTCTTGTACTCCATCTAGTGTAAAATTAATATTAGTGAACGCTAATTGCTAGATTCAAATACTTCGCTCATAGCCTAGCAAGCAACTACTATCTAGTTGAGTTATTCCATCCACATCCTCCTCCTCTGAGATCGCAGTCAACTCGGAGGAGTAAAGGCAAATTGAATCCATCACAGGCACAGGAGGAGGCGGCGTGCTATCTCCATCGCAGAAAAATGGCCTCGGAGGCACTTGCAACGCATCAACATCCCCTTCGAGCATCTCTATGACCTCACTCATTGTTGGCCGATCATATGATTTCATCTGGATGCACCAAAACACAACAAGCCACAGCTTCCTCTCTTTCTCATGCATGTCAATAGCACTAGATATCTCATCAACTTGTTGATCTACTATAAGCTGGTCATACACCCATGCTGGGTAGTATGCCCTACTCGAATTTGAGTTTGCATTTGGGTCTGCGTTCTTTCTACCTCCAGCCATCTCAAGCAGCAGCATTCCAAAGCTATAAACATCGGATTTGCTGGATATGACGCCAAAACTACGACATGCCATCTCTGGAGCCATATACCCAAATGTTCCTCGTAAAGCCCTATCTGACACAAAGCTCTTCTCCCTTGGGTACAATTTTGCAAGGCCGAAATCAGCGACCTTTGGAATAAAGTTGTCATCCAGAAGGATGTTGTCTGGCTTGATGTCAAAGTGTAGAATCTGCATCTCGCACCCTTGGTGCAGGTAGTTGATCCCTCTAGCAATGCCCAGAGCAATCTCATTGAGCTTGTCCCACGAGAAGCTTCTCTCGGATGAGAAGATATACCTGTTTAAAGATCCTCTAGGCATGTATTCATAAACCAGAGCTCTTCTCATTTCTTCGGAGCAGAACCCCACAAGACGAACCACGTTGATGTGGTGGATTCTGCCTATGGTGGCAACTTCACTGATGAAGTCTTCTCCGTTGCAGTCGGATTTTCCATCCAACATCTTGATGGCAACATGGATGTCACCAGGGAGAAGCACACCCTTGTATACAGATCCGTATCCTCCTTGGCCCAACTTATCCCTGAAATGGCTTGTGATTGCTATGATGTCTGTGTAGGCGTACCTCTTTGGACCTAGCATCTCTTGCATCCGGAGGAACTTCTCCACTGCATCGATCGCTATCCTTGTTTTCCAGTACTTGTGGGCAAGAAATGTGAGTACCACCAGCGGTGCCAACACGAACCTGCATAGAACTTTTCAAACAAGTCGGCAGCCATATATGAGTTAGATTATACTACGTACTCCCTCCGTCCCATAAAAAACCAACCTAGTACCAGATATGACATATCCTAATACTACGAGTCTAAACATACATACGTCCAGAATTATCATACTATAATATGTCACATCCGATTCTCACTGGTGGAGAAACCATCTTTAGTCGGTCGACCAGATTTCACAATAGTCCCGGCTGTATTAAAAACCGGGACTAAAAACATCTTTAGTCCCGGTTTGAAAGCTTCATGCTACTTTTCAATCTTTAGTCCCGGTTGATGATCCATTTATAGTCCCGGTTGGTGTTACCAACCGGGAAAAAAGATCGTCATACGCTTTACTCCCGGTTGGTGTTACTAACCGGGACTAAAGATCTATCTTTAGTCCCGGTTGGTACCAACCGGGAAAAAAGATCGATGCGGAGATCGGAGAGGCATGCGCAACCGGGAAAAAAGATCGACGCAGAGATCGGAGAGGCATGCGCAATTGGATCGAGGTATTTCCTTCTCTCCTTTAACTCCTCTCCTCCTCTCCTCAACTTTATCTCTTCCTCTCCTCAACCTTATCTCTTCCTCTCCTCAACCCTTCCTCTCCTTCTCCTCTCCTCTCTAACAGACCGATGGCAGGTCGGCCGCGGAGGCCCGGCCGGCGCGGCGCGCGGTGAGGCGGCGGCCGGCGCGAGGGCGGCGGGGCGCGGCGGGCCTGCCGGCCGGCGCGGCGGCGACGCGTCGCGCGGTGAGGCGGCGGCCTGCGGCGGCAGCCGGCGTGAGGGCGGCGGGGAGCGGAGGCCCGGCGCGGCGGCGGCTGGCGGCCGCGCGACGGCGGGCGCGACGGGCCGGCCGGCCGGCACGGCGGCGGCTGGAGGCCGCGCGGCGGGCGGCGCATCGCGCGGTGAGACGGCGGCCTGCGGCGGCGGACGGCGCGAGGGCGGCGGGGCGCGGAGGGCCGGCCGGCGAGGCGGTGGATTTTTTTTTTTTAAGAATCTGAAATTGTTGTATGATGTATTTGATTGGATCTGATTGTTGTGTGATGTATTTGATTTGTGTGTGATGTGAATATTTGATAATTTTGTAGAAGTTGTGATGTAATTTTTTTTTGAGATTTTGTGATGTATTTGAGTATTTGAGATGATCGATTGTGGATTTGGAAGCAATTTGAGAATGATTGATTTGTGATTTTGGGAACGGGATTGATTTGTGATTTTGATTAAAAACAATGAAGAAAAGAAAATAATAAAGAGCAACCGGATCTAGTCTTTTTAGTCCCGGTAAAAATGGATTTTTACTCCCGGTTTTTTCACCCGGGACTAAAGATCGCTATCTTTAGTCCCGGATTCGTAGTCCCGGTTGGAAAACCGGGACTACAGGGGGGTTACGAACCGGGAGTAAAAACCCTTTCTCCACCAGTGTCTATATTTGTTTTTTATGGGACGGAGGAAATACAATATAAAGTCGTGTCATGGATGTGATGATTATATAAATGCGGGTAATTAATTGACACGTACCGAAAAGTAGCTTGGTGACATCAATAGCAGATACTATGGTTATCACAACCGAAAATAACTTTATTGTGTAGTCGTGGTTAGTAGATACGCATTGTACGAAGTGTATCTCAGTCCAGAAAAGAGCGCGAGTTAGATGCGGGATGCTTGCTCCAGATATCTGATCCTTGAAGTAGCTGAAAATTACACCATTAATTATGTAGCTTGAACGGGATAAATGAGGGGGAACGTACACAGACAAAACCAAACTCTGGAGGAAGTGGAAGTAATATAGTATACAGGAAGCAGCAGACTCACCTCATTGAATTGTTTAGGCATCTCTCGACGATCGTGGGAGCCCTCTGGTCGTTATTATAAAGGGGAAAATTAACGCGGAATCCCTTCCTTATGAATCCCACGATATCTCTGTAACTTGCACTTTGTAGTACATTTGACATGATATCATCATCATATGACCCTGGTTGATAGACGTAATCAAAGGGAATCATCCCCAAATATCGACAGGAAGGTTGAAGCCTTTTGACAGGACAGCAACCATAATCATCATAAATATAGACATACACATAAGGGAATGAATTGTTCCCACTCAGGCAAGTAACGGGCTTGTACCGGCTATCATTCGTTATTGCTCGGGAACAATTCACAAAGCATGCCCAAGTGTCTGAAGCAGTGACCAAATCTTTAAAACCATAAGAATCGATTGAAGACAGATCAGACCAGTAAATCATGTAAGGAAGGTGATCAGAGCGAGGAAGAGGGCAGCTGGTGCCGTTTGTATCATCATCCAGCTGCATGGTGGCATCCACAACCAAGAAGTTCTCACGAGTATAGTTGATACTAATCACATAGTACTTTCTTGTGTTGATATGGATGGTGGCCTTGCCCCTGCTGCAGGAGAGGTTGTACCATGGACGAGGAGTAGAAACGCACTGACGTGAATCGCCTTGGAGACGGAAAGGGTAGGATATGTTGCCAAGATCACCACAGGAGAAAGGAAGACACTCCTGGGGGTTTGGCCCTGCAGCAACTGCAAGCATACAGCAGATAGTTGTTAAAGCGGCTTTCTGCAAGGGGCCGTACGTAGTAGAACGACGGAATATTGCAATGGAGTTGGCCATGCATTCATGCAACTGCCAAGCTGATTATATTTGCTTCCCCGTATTACTAGTACTATTTGTGTGGGGGGAGCTAGGGGAATGAAGTATAGATAAGACTGAACAGGAAGACTTTGCCATTGACTGCAAATAGAATAATTAAAAAAATAAATTTACAATTGGAGAGCCCTATTATTGTTGGCAGCCAAGAAGTGCCATTTAACGGCGAAAGAGAAGTTGAGGGCTATATATATTGTTCACCAGTGGAATTACCACAAGTGTCCATGTCCGCCGTGTTATCTACTATGGATTGGTATGGGCACAGCGGTGGACACGGCAAGATGTTGCAATCAGAGATAACTACCATGGTAATTTACGTTGATTGTATGGCTAGCATCATTATATTTTTCTCACATAATAAAATATATTTTTCATATTTTGTCATTAAAATAATTAAAATGGCAACACAATTTTAAATTCTATACTAACTTGACCAAACTAACAGATGTGTAATATTCATATTGTATTGTATATATGTGACATATGTATAATAATTACTTCCTAATTCCAAATATCAGTTATTTATAAATTATATTCCTATATGGACTCTATCCTCCTCTTCCAATATTTATTATTTTTTAATTACAAAGTTTCGTTATTCCTATGTGGACTTTAAACTCTTATTTTAATATTTCTTATTTTTAAATTCTGAATTTAAGTTATCTCTTCCAATATTTCTTTTTTTTAAATATGAATTTCCATTATTTGTAAATTGTATTTCTATGTAGACTCTAAACTTTTCTTTCAATATTTTGTGTATATTTATATTCTCGCTCATGATAAAATATCATATGCGAGTATTTATTTGGGTAAGCTTGGAAGAAGTTTGAGCCCTATTGGCATCGAACCAACCATGATTTATGCACATTTATATTCATGTCCGAAGAGTTACAAATTTGCCTCGTGCATGTGATGTACGGGAGTAATACCTTCTCTCTCCAAATTGTACTAGATGGACGAGAGCAATTCTCAAAATTCTTGAAGACAAACACCATTCGCTAAACAAAAACACTGCTAGTCGTGAGGGCAAGGCATGCCACATGCAGATTTAAAACACATATCGACTTTGTGGCCGAGTGTCCACGATATGAAATGACCAATTTATCAGTATTTATGCTATGGCCAAGACCAATGAGGCTAGACGACATATTGGCTAAAACTGACAAGGCTGCAATCATTCATTTATTCCATTTATCTATGACCAACGAGGCTAGACGAAACTATGGCCAAGCACCAACAAGGCCAGGTCACTATACTATTAACACGTCTAAAATAGATGGGAAATGGATACACCGTTGCTAGGCACCGACGAGGTAAAAGCAACCACATAGTCCATATTTGATGAAGGCCGAGGTACATGATTGGGCACCAACAAGGCTGTCGGAGGGTAAACTCCTCAAGCGGGAGACAGCGAGGCCCCCCTTGTTGGTTCAGCCGAGGCAGCGAGTGAGATTCGAGACTCGGTGAGAAGAGCGGTGTAGAGGGGGTCGGGCCCCTCAAGAATGATGAGACAACAGGGGTTTATACAGATTCAAGTCGCTGAGAAGCGTAATACCCTACTCCTGTGCTTAGCTGATCGTGTAAGAATTTACAAGATCTCCTTGTTGGAGTAGGAGTTGATGATGAGGGGCAGAAGTCTGCTCTAGAGAAAAAAGGCTCCTCCTCCCCCGCCTGGTCCTCCTTTTATACCTCAAGGGGTTACCACATGTGCCCAAATCGCCTATCTAGGGGTGAGGAAGGATAATTACATTAAATGCATGTCTTGTTGCTTGCCTTAGAAGTCTCTTGCCCGCTGCGGCGTGAGACCCGTCAAATCCATCCGGCTGACACGGGGGATACGCATGTCATTCATCATTTAATGAGTGAGGACTTTTGGGTCCTCACTCGCTCTGGGAAATGGAAACCTTGCCTTGACCGGGTTAAACGAACCGCCTCCGGCTGTGAAGAGAGGCTAAACAGCCTCTCATCATCATGATGTGACAGGGGATGTCAGGCGGCACACCGCCTGACATGCAACCAGTGTGCAGGCGCACTACCCTGGTCACGTCAGTCATTCGACCGGTCGCAGACTGGTCACAGGCCGGTCATAGTCCAGCCAGGCGCACCACGCGCCGCATTTAATGCGGCGTGGTGCGCTCGCTCACATCGCCTTAAATGCAGTTAGGTGGGTGATGGGGGCGCCCACCTAATCCAGCACACGCAGCACCGCGCGGAGGGGGTCAGGGTAGCCCGACCCCTAGGCATGGAGGGAGCAGCCACCGCCTGCCTCGGGCCCGACCCTCCTCGGGGGGAGGGCCACGTGGCTACCGGGGGCAGCCTCCTCCCTATGGTCCTGATACCCTCGGGCCCATATCACCGATAGAGGCAAAGGTCACCTCCTTCACCAAATTCCCTCCACACACCGACGTGATGGTGTACTGTGACTAGATTTTGGCAAAGCAAAGCCACTCATTCCACATTCACTATATTCACCATTAAATATGCACCAACCTCAACCTTCAACGAGCAAATAATTTTCAAGACGACGATCCCAAAGCTCAGTTTAATCGAAGGTGTTCTATAAGCTCGCTCCTATGGATGTAATTAACCAGTAGCCTAATTGCTAGGCGTCGGGAATCATTGGACTGCACACAATCTTCAGTAAGCATACCATTCTATTAAGCATTCTCGCAAAGACAAAAGGCGAACTCCTATGGGAGCCCTTATGTATTTGTAAATATTCATGTTAATGGAATTTTTGAATTTTAATTATTTCTAAATTATATTTCTACATAGATTCTAACCTCTACTTTCAATTTTCTTATTTTATTCATTCCGAATTTCAATTAGTTCTAAATTGTATATTTGTGTGGGGGAGCTAGGGGAATGAAGTATGATAACACTGAAGAGGAAGACTTTGCCATTGACTGTAAATAGAATAAAATTAAATTTACAATTGGAGAGCCCTATTATTGTTGGCAGCCAGGAAGTGCCATTTCACGGCGAAAGAGAAGTTGAGGGCTATATATATTGTTCACCAGCGGAATTTCCACAAGTGTCCATGTCCGCCGTGTTATCTACTTCCTTCGTTCTATAATATAAGAGATTTTAAGTTGATGATATGTCTAGATTTATTGTACTAAAATGTGTTATATCTATCTAAAATCTTTTATATTATGGGACGGAGGGAGTCCCGTGGATTGGCATGGGCAGGGCGATGAACACGGCAGGCTGTTGCAATCAGAGGTAATTAATTACTTGCTCTATATATAAGAAATAAAGTTCTTATTGACTAGCTAGTCAGATTCTTCTTCGCTATTGCTGTCCTAGCTAGCTAGCTAGCTACAGTAGTATATATGTTCCATATTTTCTTTTTAACTCGCAACGCAGCTTCGTCATCGCTCGCCCTGCCCCTGCATATGTAACAGAAAGTTAGTAAATTAAGATGAGAGGATTTGTTGGCGCAGCCGTCCTCCTTGTATGCAACCTGGCCACAGCGTCAGCGTGGAAGGATAAAGATTTCTTCAGCGCATGCCCAGCAAAGCAGTGTGGCAAGGTTGAGATCAGGTACCCTTTCCGATTTGAACCCAGCAATACATCGTCCTCCTGCGGCTTACCATGCATGAAGCTAACATGCTCTGACCGCCAAGAAACTATCCTAGATATCAAAAATTACCTTGGAAGGCCATACAAGGTGACCGCCATAGATTACAAGCGTGCTACCCTCACCATCGTCCCGCTCGCGGACGATTCTTCCTTGCCTCCCACTCCCGGATGCCCGCTTCCCAACCTCATCTCCGAAGGAGCACTTGATCACCGTTGTGAACCATACGCAATGTGGTATGCAGCACTAGTGAAGCTGTTCGTCAGAGTTCGCAGCACCAGCTACTATCCCTGATGCCGCCGATTATATTGCTGGCCCCATCTCTTGCCTTAGCAACAAAACCCACTTCTTCTATACGTTGTCTGCTTATGCACCCATGTCTTTTCTTCCGCTGGATTGCGAGGCCGTCTCCGGTAACCTCATTGCATTACCCAGAGGCAACACCTATAGCCCTCTTGTTGATTCCTCCACGTTGAAGGACGTAGCAGAAAGAATCTTCAGTTTCAATGAGACGCCCATCAGCTGGATAAGTGTCATGAGTTCGCCTGACCAAATAGACCTTGCCACTGATTGCCGAGACTGTGAAACACAGGGCCGACGCTGCGCATTCAGCTCACAAAGGAATCAAACATTCTGCATGCCTCACCATCACGGTACCGTTTCTAACTGAGCCCCCTCATATCATCGTTTACAGGAACACGAGCATCACTCTGCATGCCTTATTATCTGATTTTTTTTATAAACAAAAAAAAAGAAGGCAGATAAATATATATCATCGTTTACAGGAGCACGAGCATCACTCTACTATCCGATCATCTTAAGTTACACTTGTGTTGGCTACAAATGTAGTAAGAAAATGTTTTAGCAACTAAATCAGAATCTAACAAAAACAACTGGATAAACAGGCAACTATCGACAAGTAGCATCAAGTCACCATAATCATAAATCTTTTTAGTGCCCAACACGCCAAAGCATTTATAACTATGATAATGCAGTGTTAAATCTACAAGATTACCTAGATTACAATGTCCTGAATTTCTTTGAACCATTACTCACCAGCAAAGTATTGCATCCAACAATTTCCTGTTCTATTGCTAAGAAACATGCAGAAGAAGAAAAAGTGACATAACAAGAAGACATACTATCCCACTAATATAACCTAATTAGTTCAGCATCCTTACAAGTTACAACATATTCCAAGAAGTTCAAGTTGCTAGGATTGCTATCAAGATTGAGCTTGCAAAGTGCAGGCGCTCTTGTTTCGATTCTCCCTTTTGTTATGTAATATCTTGTGTAATCACTGCTAATCTTTCAATTTGACTTGACTACACTCACCAAAACAAGCTAGTCGATAGCGATCTTTTGTGGTTACCTTCTGAGAAACCAACAAGAAATAACATTGAAAATGTTAATACCAGTTGGCACACGAGGACGTAACATTGGCTCATGAGTCATGTCACATGTTACACTTCAGGCTGCTTAAGTCCATCAACATTGAATTCCCTTTTAGGAGGGCGGTATTGTCAGATT